GCTTAGGACCACCATCCCGGCACTGCTCTGCTCACAGACAGTGCTGCAGGTTGTGGCACTCAGAAGGCGCCCCTCTGTCGTGCAGCCCTCCACAGCGCCTGCCTGCCTGTCCCTGTGTGGGCTGGGATGGAGCTTTTCCTTTGCAGTGCCTGGTGTGACGCCGTGTCCTGGTTCCATCGGTGCCATCCTGCAGGCTGTGCATCCTGCTGTGCACAGCGCAGTGCTGCAGAGCTGTGCTTCCCAGCCCTGTGCTCTCCAGCACTCTCGTGTGAGTTCTGCCTCTCCCAGGAATCTCCTGTTCCCAGGAACCTCTGCTGCTCCCTTGCATGCAGATCTGTGTGCACAGCCCTGTGCAGAACCGCACGTGCAAGGACTTCCCTGCACATACACCTGAGCATCCACACGCACATGCAAGCACATCTTTGCACAGCCCTGTGTGCACGCTCCATCCACGTGCACGCAAACGTGTGCAAAACCACACAGCCTTGTGCAGAGACCTTGATGCACACACCCGTGTTCACGCACACACACCCGTGTGTAAACCCACCCCTTTGCACACCAACGTGCATGAAGACACGAGCGCAGCTCCAGCCCTGCACACAGCCGTGTGCACACATACACACGTGCAAAACTAACATTCACATGGAAACACCCTGCTCACACCCACGTGCAATGCACACTGATGTTTAACACCGCCTCTAAGATGATCGGAGGGCTGGAGCAGCTCTGCTGTGAGGAAAGGTTGAGGGAACTGGGCTTGTTTAGCTTGGAGAAGACAAGGCCCTGGGGAGACCTCATTGTGGCCTTCCAGTCCTTGAAGGGAGCGTATAAACAGGAGGGGAACGGCTGTGTGTGAGGGTGGGTGGTGATGGGACAAGAGGCTTTAAACTGAGACAGGGGAGGTTTAGGTTGGATATTAGGAAGAGGTTTTCCCCCAGAGGGTGGTGAGGCACTGGAACAGGTTGCCCAAAGAGGCTGTGGATGCCCCATCCCTGAAGGCATTTGAGGCCAGGCTGGATGTGGCTCTGGGCAGCCTGGCTGCTGGTTGGCGACCTGCACACAGCAGGGGGTTGGGACTGGATGAGCACTGTGCTCCTTTTCAACCCAGGCCGTTCTGTGATTCTATGATCTCTGCACACCCTGCATGCACACACACCTGCACTCACAGCTCTGTGACAAATGCCGCTCCCATGGTACAGCCAACATGCAGACGGGGGAAATGTCAGGAGCAAAGATGCCCTGCTGCGCTCCTTCATTCTGCTCTCTGTAATGAAGGCACTGGGGCGCAGCTGCAGCCCATCCTGAGATGTGGGTTGCTGCAGGGTGCCTCGTTTGGACGCTGCGGGGTCAACCCGGAGCTGCAGCCTGAGGGACACTGCTCGTGTGCTCTGGAGATGGAAGATGTGCCAGGAGCCAAGGCAAGACTTTCACAGGCAGCGCAGGGTGGCGTTCCTGGGCCGGGTGGTGACACGCAGAGCTGTGCCCACTGCCCTGGGATCTGCGTGTGTCCCGTCCTGCAGCACTGCAGAAGGGCTCAGGGTGCAGCACTGTGGCAGGGCTCACTGAGGACGCCAGGTTGAGCAGCAGAGCCCCAGGTGGGATATGGGGGTTCTGGGACGGTGAGGGGGGTCCTGTCAGGACTGTGAGATCCCAAGGGTGACCCGAGGGGGTAAGGGAGGTCAGAAGGAGGAAACGGGAGTTCTGGGGGAGCTCAGGGAAGGGATAAGGGGTGCTGATGGGGACTGTGGGTTTCTGTGAGGCCCTGGGCTGGCTGTAGGGGAGGTGTACAGTGTCTGAGGAGATTCTTGATCCGGTCACTCAGAGCCCCGTCCAGCCCGACCTCAAATGTCTCCAGGAATGGGGTTTTGTCAACAGTTTATGGGCTGGCTTGGCCCGGTTCCGTGACTGGCAGGGTGGAGGGACCCCGGAAAGGGATCAGGGATAAAGGATAGAGAGATGGGCCCCAAAACAAAACAGCGGCAACGTTCTGAGGAGAAACAAACTAATTTACTAAACAAGAGATCAGAATGCAAGATAACACACTGTAACACAATATAATACAATATACCAGGGCTCAGCACTGGGCCCGCTTCTATTGAACATCTCTAGTACCAATATTGATGAGGGGACTGAGCGTGCCCTCAGTAGGTTAGCAGACAACACTAAGCTGGGAGGAGCGTTGATCTGCCTGAGGGGAGAAAGGCATTGCAGAGGGACCTGGATAGACTGGATCCGTGGGACAAGGCTGACTGCAGGAGTTTCAATAGGGCCAAGTGTCTGGTCCTGCATTTCGGTCACAACAACCCCAGGCAACCCTGAAGGCTTAGGGAGGAGTGGCTGGGAAGCTGCCTGGCAGAAAGGGACCTTGTTGTGCTGACCGACAGCCGGCTGAATACGAGCCAGCAGTGTGTCCAGGTGGCCAAGAAGGCCAACGGCACCCAGGCTTGGATCAGGCACGGAGTGGTGAGCAGGACTGGGGAACTCATCCTGCCCTGTACTCGGCACTGCTGAGGCCTCACCTGGAGTTCGGTGCTCAGATTTGGGCACCTCAGCACAGAAAGGACACGGATGTACTGGAGCAGCTTCAAAGCAGGGCAGCAAGGCTGGGGAAGGGCTTGGAGGATATGGCCTCCGAGGAGAAGGAACACGAGGGAGCAGGGCTCTCCCGCAGCTGCAGCCTGCAGCCTCGCTGAGGCCTCCCCGAGCACCTTCACTGCGGGAGGGCGGCACACGGCACGGGCACCCCGGCCGTGCCGGCGGCTCTGACGGCAGCGCTGCGCCTACGGCACACGGCACGCCATCGCAGGGAGCGGGGCCGGGAGATGCGTGACGTCTGAGCCCGTTATTGACTGCCAGCGCGTGCCCGCCCCCCCCCCGTCTCCGCAGAGCCGATTGGCCGCCGCGGCCGTCACTCGACTCCAGGGCGGGCTTCCTCTCCACGCCGTGCGCGTGCACGTTTCGTCCGGCGGTGCCCGGCCCGCCATGCCGAGGGCGAGCCCGGGCGACAGCCGCGCGGCGGCGTGACGCCATCGCTAGGAGACGCGCGGAGCTCGGGCTGCGTGTCACGTGAGCGGGGGGTGGGGGCTGCGGTTTGGGGCCGGGAGCGGCTCCGAGGCTCGGGATACGGAATGGGGCTCCTTGCGGGGCTGGGCTGTGGATCGTGGGGACTTGCGGGGTCCCGCGGGGATTTGGGGCGTCCCTCTGGAGCCCTGAAGGCCTGGGCGCGTTTTGGGGTCCGCTTGTGTCTGGGGGCTGGGGGAAGTGGGGGTCTAGCGGGGCTGAGGGCGGCACGGGGCTGTTTGTTGGGGTGCTGCTGTTGGACTCGGGGCGAGGGTCTGGCAGTGGCACGCGGCCGGGGGTCTGATGGAGTCCGTTCCCGACCTCGAGTCCTCTTGCAGGACTGTTTCTTTCTCAGAACCCTATCCTGAACCGAAATCCTTGATGTACCCAAGTCTAACGCCAACCCCTGCTCTGGTTAATGTGAAAAGGGCTCAAAAGGGAATCTTGGTGACTAATTGTTGCTGTTAGCAATGCTTTGGTGTTTGTTGTTGTTTTTGTGAAATAAAGCCATATATTGTATGTATATAAACAAAACCCACAAATACCTTATTAACTACATTAACTGACGTGAAAAAGTATTTTGGTATGATATTAAAGCTTATTAACCAGTATTTATATAGCTTTTCTTTGATTGCCAAATGTTTTGTTTTGGTTTTCAAAACGAAATTGAATCTGTCATTAAAAAAATCAATTCTTAATCAAGTGCCTTATGTCAAGGGTCATTTGTTACATTCCCATTCCTCTCGCTCACCAATAAAGAAGTAAAATTCTTCTTTTTGATAAATTGGGAAAAAGGGAATCTGAATGGTTTCAGTGTAAATGCAAATGAAATTTTTGGAGTGGGATGAATATGGGAACCTATATGTCATAAATTACAGTGACAGACCGGAAGAAAGGTGTATATTCCACATATTATTTTGTCCAGATTATGTTATACTCTGCTCAGCTTGTAAAGAGATACATCAAGGGGATTGGTGTTACTTGTGTCTGGAGTGTGGACAACAGTGGTGGAACAAGTTTTGGGGATTGTTCCGGGGAAACTTCAGGGTAAAAGGAGTAATTAGTGGAAACGTTAATAAACTAATAAAACAACAAAATAGCGCTATGGGAGGGTCGCAAGGGAAAGAAATACCAACAAAACAAACAAACAAACACCTCTCAGGTGTATGTTGGCATATTGGAAGGATGCTGCAGGAGGGCCAGGGGGAATATCAAATAAGAAACTAGGAACATAAATGGAATAACGGGACCAGTTTTATAATGGAGTACCCTAATCATGAGAGACCAAGTGCTGGGTGTTTGTGGAAGCTGAAGAACTGTACGGTTTGATTTGTGGATTGTGAAAGGAATGGGACAAACTGTTTTGATGGCATAAGAAAGGTAATTGTTACTGGTATACAGAAGTAGAATGGAGGGTATGTGGAAGGGTAACTGAGGGTACGACAAAGGAAAAAGGGTTAAAGAGAAAGTGAGTTCATCTGTGCTGAGGTGAGAGCAACCCCCCACACCGTTCCCTGCAAGCAGAACTTGGTGTGAGAGAGTAAGCTGCAGATGGAGACTGCTGCTGTAAACAGCATGACTTGCACAGGGGGAGATAGAGAGGACAGGGCACTGGAAGTGAGGCTAGCCTCTGCAGAGAGAATGGCAGTGTTGGTACTGAGAGCCTCTGGAGAGAAGGAGGTCAACTGGGAATAACAGCGGCTGTTAGTGTGGCGGCACTTTTCCTCAGCAATCAGACTGTAGTTATTTCATATGCACTAATAGAATATGGTCAGATAGAATGAAGAAAACAAAAGGAAGCGTCGCGTATTATGAGAGTTTCTGCTTACATGTCAGTTGAGCTTGAAGCTCAGAGATGCTTTTTAAAACTGCAGCACAGGGAAAATGGAACAAGATGGGATTTATGTTATGGAAAGCAGGAATGCATTCTGAAGATTGAGTGACTTCTAGTTTTAATTTTTATTTTCTGCTTTCAGTGTTTCCCAGGGAATACAGCAAGAGGTTTTAGGAGAATTTTAACCAAGAGAAAGGAAATACAGCTTGCTGTTGTGAACAATGCTTCCTAGGCTGTTCACTGATTGAGGTAGCACTGCTCTAAACCAAAAACATATACAGATAACTGCACACCTACCTCCTCTCAGGAAGAACCTCAGTTGCTGTCAGTTCATACGTATTTGCTGGTGTTTTGGGCTTCTTAACTGCGATGACTGTTGTGCACTGGCTCTCTGAAAGAAAGCATCCAAACCAAAGCAGGTATGTTTCTGCAGTAGAGGATTGACTTCTCTTCAGTCAGGATTTCTCACGATTAGCAATTACTTTTTTAAAGCCAGCCTCCTATCTATCTCTAGTCTGCATCTTCAGCGTGATAAAATAGGTTTTAACTAGAACAACAAGACTAAACAGAAAACTGAGACTGATCCCCCCAGAGCTCTGTAATTCAAAAGTCTTTGAGGGGCCGGCGCAGTGCAGTACTACAGTTTGGAAGGGATGAGGACCAGAACTGGCTTCTTGTTCTGCCACTGGTCTCAGGACAAACACTGAGGAATTTACTATGTCAGAAGGTTGCATTCCACATCAAGCATTTTCCTTCAGGTGTAAAGGTGCGAGTTGCATCACCACAGTTAATACTACATGTTGAGTAACGGCCTAAAAAGTTCTATTGTCCACGTGTTGGAAAAGAGCTCTGTGGAGCAGCTTTGCATTTGTGGAGACAACTCAATACAGCTCGAAGATTCAGCTTTCCATAGCAGCAGTTGGCCCCAGACAGCCATGTTCTCAACACTTCCAAGAGATACTCCCACCATTTATTGTTATATCTTTAAGTACTGCTTCAACTATCCTGAATGCAAGAACTTCCAATAGACAACAACAGTATTTTAATTGCTTAACTCTCAGGAATATCTAACAGAAATGAGCTGAAATCACACTTCTGCACTTCTCATGTAAGAAATACCTACTTTCACTTTTTAAGCTTGCCATAAGACCAACATCAGAAGTTACCACATGCAGTCTTAAGACAAAAATAAAACCTGTGTGAACAACCAGCCTTTGTAATGCGCTTTGTTGAACACTTACCAAAGGAAAGTGGTATGTTCAGTGACTCTTAGTAACATATTAGCCTGCAGAGATGGAGCATTTCTGAACAATATTCCCTAGCACTTGGAACAGAAGAATCTTCAACTGTAGGAAGCGCTTAATACTTTAAAGGGCAGAGTGAACACGTGCAGTATCAACACCAAGGATGAGGACAAGCACCTCTGTAACCCAGAGGAGCTGATACAGCATGGACACATTTCTGGTCCATCACGTAAATGCAGCTGTTAACATTGCTAGCCTCAGTATTTTCAATGCCACACCAAGAAGATATGTGAAAGTACTGGTTACATTTCATTTAGAAGCAAGATGCAATAAGAGCACAGTTAAATAAAAGCATTTACCCTTTTCTTTCACTCAACACAGCAGCCCAGAAGAAAACAAAAAACCACAATGAACGTTGAAGAAATTTTCTACTAGATCTCCACAAGAAGTGGAACCACGTGCCAGTTTTAGGAACAGCAATTGTCTCATTATCTGAATGCATCTAAAGGCACGCTCCTTGCGAAACTGTGAGAACCTCTGTAATTAACAGACGAGTAACCTGCCCTGACATATGGCTAAACCACTTGCAGTGCACTGTCAGATGTACAGGCTGGTGAATACACGCGCTGTGACCAAAAAAACCCCAAACCTAAATCTTCCAGAAACAGAAGGTTAGGATCTACAAGTATTGTGTTCACATTTGAATTTAAAAAATCCCTAAGCTACACACGTTCTAGGTTCTCATCTGTTAGACACAACGTACCTTTGGAAGGAGGTGCCTGGAGGGGTTTGCCTTGCACTTGTTTCTGTGTCTCACTCTTTGGAAAGGAGGCCTTTGGAGCAGGAAGTGCAAAGGGCAGTGCATTTCTTTATGCTGACTCTGCATCCACATTTCTTTGCATGCTGCATAGATGCCACTTTTCCTGTCACTGGAGCTGACAGTGTGAATTCCATATTGCCCAGCTGAGTATCACACCTTGAATGCTGCCAGGTACTGCAATCACATCCAGAGAAGTCACTGTCAAGGAAATTCTAACATCTAAGCAGGTCAGACACAATGCTTATAAAAACATCCTACACTACTTGTCTATTGAGCAAAGTAGTTAAAAACTCTTCAGTACCTCTGATTCTCCCCTAAAATGAGTTTGCTTCTTATAGATTGTCAAGTGCCATTTTTCTATCTGTTCATCTGAATTCTACATTTAGGATTAACTCCTCACCAGCTTATCTAAACATAGCTATGAATTATCACTTTTTTAGCTGCGAAATTTGAATTGCTTCACTGTGGGTTTTCTTGTCCAATACAGAAAGATTGAATTTCTGTCGGTACCTTTAAAGCTCTGTCCACCTCTTGCCTAACTCCAAAATCTTATTAACTGTGCCTTATCACTTCCCATTTTGTTTTAAAATCCTCACTGACTCCTTCGCTTGTTTCCTTACTCGCTGTTTCAGTGCAAACCGAACACTGAAGTTAAGGTTCTCATCAAATGAACCATGGCTTTCAGGTAGAAGGCATCAAGTTTATGCTCAACATACTTCTTTGCTCAATCTGTATCTCCCTTTGGTCAAGGTCCACTAGATACTTAAATATGTAATAAGCATTATACACACTGAGAAGCAGATTTCTGGATTAAGAATTGTGTTTTTTTCTGTCAGAAACCAGCACTGGATCTTCAGACACCTGCTTTGTTCTGTGAGCATTTAGAACAAACTCTTCTAGTGGAGATTCTTCAAACAATGAAGTTCCATCAGCAAATTCCATGGATCCAAACGCATGTGGCACATGGCTGCAACCTGGCACATCTTCAGATGTCACAGCCTTTTCAGACTGAAAAGAAGCGTTCAGTTGAGATTCTTCTGCAGGATTAAAAGGAAGATTTCATCAGAAAAAAATAATACCAGTAAAATCTGAATATGATTGCTTTGCAAGTTCCTAACTATGGCTAACAGCTAATGGAAGTCCACATGCCAACAGCCCCAAATTTATATCATGCTCTTAATATTGTAATTGTGGATTTGACATTCATATCAAGAGCAGAAGGGAAATTATTCTTAAAGCTCGAGTCATCTTTTACAACCTGTGTCAACAAGAGCAGCATCTCAGAGCCTTCCATTTGGAGACTTGGACCACAAGCTCTTTTCAACAAAAGTCAAATAACAGCCTGGAAAGAACTGAAGAAAAGAATGCCGTGAGGTCTGAAAGTGGCTCATAAAAAGGCAAACAAGTCATATCCAAAACATATGATTGTGCAATCTGCAGCACTGCTTGAAGCAGTGTTTGGAAGCCTATGAGGAAGCCCAGGCAAAAGTTCCTTACTGAATCATGGAATTCAGTGTTTCAGTCAAGATTTCTAATCTTCACATCTCACACCACACATGACTGTGGTATCAAAACATCTTTTGTTTCTAACAGCTCATTATGATTTCAGGAACATCCTTCCCATGGACTTATTTCATACCACTTTGCCAATACTGCATACAGCTACCTTATCAGTCCTGAGATAGAAAGGAGGCATTTTTGGAAGCTATGTTCTAGTGACAGATAAGTGTCTCCTGATCTGTGTTCATAGATGTCACAATGATCACATGTCTCATTGCTAGTGAAAGCAGAAACAGCAGATCTAGGGAAGCTCTATGATGACTTACTAAAAAGCCCTTTCCAGAGGGCTGCTAGCTATGGGCAATCTCTATTCTCTAACTGAGATCACGTTCCATTACAATATGAATGCCTGAGCAGGATATCGTGACTATTGTGTTTCAGAAGAAATGTAGGCCATAATGATTTTTTTGGAATTTCCTTACACATAAAACTGTTTCCAAAAAGGTGGTGTTACACATACTCTTGTGCCATCAAATTCGCAGAATCACAGACTGGCTTGTAGGGACTTTGCAGGTCATCTGGTCCTACGCTCTTGCCCAAGCAGGGTCACCTAAAGCAGGCTGCCCCAAACTATTTCTGTCAGCTTTTGAAAATCTCCAAGGAGGGAAACTCCACAACATTTCTGGCCAATGTGTGACAGTGCTTGGTCACCCACACACAGCATTTTTTCCTGATGTTTAGACAGAATCTCTTGCAGTCCAGTTTCTGCCCATGTCCTGCCACTGGGCACCAATGAAAAGAGCCTGGCTGCACCTTCTTTGCATCCTCAGTCCAGGTATTCACTCACAATAAGATCTTCCTGAGCCATCTCTTCCCCAGGCTGAACAATGCCAGGTTATGTGAAAGGTTACGTTCTCTCACTTTCTTGTCTTCACATGAGACCAGTTCTAATTAGAGGCATTTGCTGTTCAGGTATTTTGGCAGGTTGAGCATGTATTCAGATGCCTTATCTTCAGGCAGGCAGGTGTAGTTTGTTCTGACTACTGTGGAAGGACTGATAGGCTGCTGTGTTACGTGATTTTCATCAACGTATGTGAGGGCATAATGCACTTTTTTAAATAGCAGCACTAACCAGACCTACCTGGCACCCATGTCACAAGTGCCAGCTAGATAGATAGAGCAACTTCACTGTTGCTGAACCCAGAAAGACTAATGATCTGGATGCGAAAGACTAACTCACTGTGATCACAGAAATCACATTATTATTAACTACAAGATATGGTTTAGTAGCTTGTGGCACTAATAGGAATGGGAGGGTGGTTGCACTAGATGATCTTGCAGGTCGTTTCCAACCTTGCAATTCTGTGATTCTGTGACCAGCAGTTCAATGGAGGTGATGCTGCCCCTCTGCTCTGCTCTCACTGACACATCATCTGCAGTACTGCGTCCGGTTCTGCAGCCCTCAGCACAAGGACATGGAGTTGTTAAGCATGTCCAGAGGAGGGCCACAAAGATGATCAGAGGGCTGAAACACCTCACCTGTAGGGAAAGGCTGAGAGAGCTGGAGCTCATCAATGTGGAGAAGAGAAGGCTCCTAGGAGACCTTGTAGTGACCTCCCAGTACCAGAAGGGCCCTATAGGAAAACTGGGGAGGCACTTTTTATGAGGCCAGGTAGTGACAGGACAAGGGGAAATGGCTTAAACTGGAAAAGGGTAGATTTAGACTACATATTAGGAAGAAATTTTTTTACAGTGGGGATGGTGAGACACTGCAACAGGTTGTCCAGCAAGGTTGTGAATGCCTCCTCCTTCCAAGCATTCAAAGCCAGGCTGGATAGGACTTTTGAGCAGCCTGATCTAGGGGGAGGTATTCCCTGCCTATAGATACTAGATAATCTTAAAGGTCCCTTCCAATCCATACCATTCTATGATTCTACTCTACGATTTATATTCATAAGGCTATTCTTGTTCTCTAATTTGTTGTGCTACTTGAATAATCTTGCACAGAACTTGCTTAGAAGATGCAATTAAATCTGCTGAAGCCTAAGGAAACAGACTGCTGGACTTTCACCCAGCTGCAAGTAAAGAAAGCCACAGAGCTTACTCTAACTGCAAGATAAGGAAGTAAGAAAGACTAAATTGAGACTCTGCAAACATTGGCAGATCTCACAGTCCTGAAGATTGGAGAAAACAATCCACCAAGAGACAATGAAAGGAACCAATCCAGAGCAGGAAGATCTCCAACCTCAATAGTACTATCGGTCTTCAAGGCCGACAGGGAACATGCAGCAAAAGGGCATTTCTCTGTGCAAGGTCCTTGTTCAAGAGCAATCACCTCGAGTTTTTTGCATAACTTCAACTCTGTATGGCTTTTATTTTTTTTGGTGGGGAATCAACCACCAGCCTAAGAAGCCTGTATCAGCAGCTGACCACACTAACAGTAAATAAATGTTTCCTATTGTCTGGTCTGAATTTCCCCTGATGCAGCTCTGGGCCATTCCTGATCGTCCTGTCACAGAATCACAGAATCACCCGGGTTGGAAGGGACCTCAAGGATCATGTAGTTCCAACCCCCCTGCCCAGCAGGGCCACCAAACGTACACATTCAGATCAGGTTGCCCAGGACCCCGTCCAACCTGGCCTTGAACACGTCCAAGGACGGGGCATCCACAACCTCCCTGGGCAGCCCGTTCCAGGGCCCAACCACTCTCCTTGTGAAGAACTTCCCCCTAACATCCAACCTAAATCTTTCCTCCTTCAACTTGGATCCATTTCCCCTAGTCCTGCTGTTGTCAGCCCTTTTGAAGAGTTTACTCTCCTCCTGGGTGTAGGTTCCCTTCAGGTATTGATAGGCTGCACTGAGGTCACCCCGCAGCCTTCTCTTCTCCAGGCTGAACAAGCCCAACTCCCTCAGCCTGTCCTCATAGGGGAGGTGCTCCAGCCCCCTGATCATCTTAGTCGCCCTCCTCTGGACCCTTTCCAAGATCTCTATGTCTTTCTTGTACTGAGGGCTCCACACCTGGACACAGTACTCCAGATGGGGCCTCACAAGAGCTGAGTAGAGAGGGACGATCACCTCCCTGTCCCTGCTGACCACCCCTCTCCTGATGGAGCCCAGGATCCCATTTGCCTTTCGAGCTGCCAGAGCGCACTGCTGGCTCATGTTCAGTCTCTCGTCCATCAGGACCCCCAGGTCCTTCTCTGCCGAGCTGCTCTCAAGGCCCACTCCTCCCAGCCTGTACAGGTGCCTGGGGTTCTTCCGGCCCAAATGCAAAACCTTGCACTTTGCCATGTTGAACCTCATTAGGTTCACCTGAGCCCAGCTTTCCAGCCTGTCGAGGTCCCTCTGAATGGCATCCCTTCCTTCCACCGTATCAACCGCACCACTCAGCTTGGTGTCGTCAGCAAACTTGCTGAGGGTGCACTCAATTCCCTCATTGATGTCATTAATAAAGATGTTAAAGAGCACCGGTCCCAAGACAGACCCTTGGGGGACACCACTTGTTACCGGCCTCCACCTGGACATAGAGCCATTGACCACCACCCTCTGTCTGCGGCCTTTCAACCAATTGCTTATCCATCGGGTCGTCCACCCATCAAATCCACTTCCCTCCAATTTGGAGATGAGGATGTGGTGGGGGACCCCCAGGTAAACACAGCACCTTCCTCTGCTCTCCCCTATTCAGGGAGTTGCAGAGAGCAAAGAGGTCATCTCCTGGCCTTTTCTTCTCTGGACTAGGCAATGCAAGTGCCCTCAGCCTCTCCCCAGAGCACACACCTTCCAGTCCTGTTAGCAGCTTTGTTCCCCTCCTCCTGGCTGCCAGGGCACACCACTGGCTCATGTTAAACTTGTTGTCCCCACCACCTCTAGACCCTGTCCTAGTACTGCTCTCCAGACACTTGTCTCCTCATCTGTATGTTTGTTCCTATTCCATTGCTGGTACAATGTCTGGCATTTTCCTCTGCTGATTGCCTAACGCTCTGATCTATCTAGATTCTTCTGCAAGGTCTCCCATCCCTCCAGGGAGCCTCCAGCACTTCCCAGTTAAATATCATCAGCTGTTTAAGAAAACCTGCAGAGGATGCACGCCTCTCCTGCGTCCAAGTCAATGGGAGCCCCATCCACTGTGACTCTTTGAGCTCTGCCACTGAACCACTCAGTATAGGCTGTACCTGTCCATCTCACATTTGGATGACTTGTCTGGAAGGATGCCACGAGGGACAGGATCAAAGGCCTCCCTGAAATCTAGAAAGATTTCATCCTCTGCCTTTGTACACAAAGTGAGTGGCCTTATCATAGAACAAGATCTGACGACCAAGACTGGCTGCACACATCTCTCTTACAGATGTTGAGGCCACCAGGCTGTTTACCCAGGCAGAGCTTCGGCACACAGCAGCGTTTTTACCAGAATGTTGTGCTGAACTCTAACACTTACCCGTGGCTTGCTGGCTGTGTTGTACTGCACGTCGTTTGTAATGGAATTCTTAAGTGGATGCGCTTGCCACGAACCTTCCTGGATTGAAGCAAGAGATAGGTTGTGACATCTGGTCACAGTTCCACCTGAAAACAAGAGTATTTAGATCTCTTCAGAGAAGTTGTCAGTACAAAGAAAGCTTAGCGTTCTAAACGTTTCTGCATGTCTGGAATATTTTCCCCTTGATGTGCAACCTTCACGTCTGATCACATCAGGCTAGTTTCAGACCTTAGCTGCTCACACAACAAGTTTAAGATAGAGAAGCAGACTGCTCTTGTTTTTGCTTGAGAGCAGTACAATTGCTGAAAGTGAAAAGTAAAGCTGGTGCCAGAATGGCTCTACTGGAGTGAATGGCAAAGCTCCTATTAATGCACTTTGCACAGTATTTCAGCTGGACTCCCATTTTTGGGGGTCATGTTTCAGCCCAGCTCCAAGGAGCATCAACATCCAACTTGATTTTCAGCAGCTTTTTGACTGCTATGAGAACCATGGGTAAATTGCTTGATAGACTCACAGTGTAGCACAATCAGCTTGAATTACTTATAAGGCATTAGAAGTCCTCTGATAAAGGACTGTGAAAATAGACTAACATGGAAGAACTTCTTCCCCTTGTAGGTAGATTGTTCTCATTACTTTCTGTACCTGAAAAAAAAAAAAAAGTAGAAATGTCTCTCCTAGGTAAAACTTACATTTTATATCTATTCCTACTAAAGTTACCTGGAAATCTTAACAATCCTTCCAAGTTTTACCACTTTCTATTCAATAGAAAGACAATTCAATTTCAAGAAACAGTTTTCAGATTCAGGTTAAAGCCAGAGTACACATCGTGTTTTAAATCTCTTCTGTAGCTTGGAATGTCATTAGTAACATTGATACAATATCTCTACAAGCACTCAGTTTAGCTTTTCTCATTCATTTTCAAAAGTTACTGGAATGGATTCATTTCTTTAAGAGTTTGTGAGCTGTAATTCCCAAAGCTTGTTTGGTTGTCTGAGTGAGGAGTTGATACTTTCCACTTATTAATGAAACATTTCAGAGCAGTGAGTTAAGCCAGCACGTGACACCTGCTGTGCATCCATAAGTTTCTGTTTTGAGTCTATCTGGACTTCCAGAGATTCATCAGGATTTTAACATGGTACAAAATAACAGAAAGGCTTAGGAAACAAAACTAAAGGAGAAAAAGAGAATAAATGTGAACTTCAGAAATGTAGTTGTTAGCTACAGATAGACTATGGAGTTCAGCAGGGGTACCTTAGCTCTGAAAGGTATGAAAGATTTCATGTTTGAGAAGAAGCAAGCATTAGAGTCTGTTAATACAGAAAGGTTATTTACTGCAGTAGTGAGCTTAAATACAATGAGTTACATACATTCGTTACCTCCGATATTAATGCCGATATACTCTCTCTGCTCTCTCTGCTCTGGTTCTGAAACACAGCAAGTTCTGTTGCACAGTCTTCATCAAGGTGCCCCAGCTGCAAGAACAAGACCTGTACTGAAGAAACAGCTTCCAAGTCATCTCACAGAGCCAATATCACCATGATAGTCTTCTGATATGCACCAATCAAGTCAATAGTTAGCCACCATTTCAGATTTTCTATTTTAAATAGTTAGCATCAGGGCTAAATACTGCAAGGAGTAAACAGAGTCACCACGCTTCAGCAACGGGTCCCTCTGTGGCAACAGGTTCTGCATTCAAGTACAAAAGCCTGTCAGCAGATGAGATTTTCACTAGAGCACAAGTTACACCTCTATCCCCTCTTAATTATTCAGTTCCATGGCATGCACAGCACACGGTGGTGTACGATCAGCACAGCTGTTCTTCAGAGAAACAGTGGCACCCAGAGGCCAGCAGCAGCCATTGGCTGCAAATACACAGCAACTTCTCAGTATCTGCAGCAAGAATCTCCCTCGCACACCCAATTCCCACCCCCACCCCAACCCCGCTACCCCAACCTCTCACACAGATCAGACAATTGAGAGATAAGGAGCACAAGCACAGTTCCAGAGAATCATAGAACGGCTTGAGTTGGAAGGGACCTTAAAGACCATCAAGCTCCAAGTTGCAAAGCTGCAACTCACCAGATCAAACTGTCCGGGGCCTCATCCAACCCGGCCCTGAATGCCACCAGGATAAGACATCCCTACCTCCTGTTTTATCCACCGCACCTCTCAGCACGGGGCTGCCTGCAAACTTTCTGAAGGTGCTCTCTAGTTCCATTCTCTCTGTCACTGACAAAGGTGTTGAAGGTGCCAAAATGGACCCCGGAGAGTAACCACTTTTCAGCAGCCTCTGAAGAAATGTGTTATCACTCCCGTTCTGAGAGGATGCCAGTGGTCCAGGAAAGACTCCAGAACATACTTAGGCTTCTTCGAGTGTGTGTACTTACTGGGTATTTACTTTGCCACTGAACAGCACCTTGCATGAGCCAAAGGTGATTTCACAGGAGTTTAACTGTCATCTGCTTCTTTGGGTCTGCCTAGTGGGCAGCAACATTCAAGTTGTTATTTACATCACCGAGAAGAACTGCAGACAGTTATTCTTTTCCTAAGAACTTCAAGGTGCCTGGAAGCACAAATAGAGACCAGCAGTATTTATTCACTTCACCAGAAGGAAGGTCAAACACCTGAGCTGTGAAGAACAGTTACAGCACCTATGGTTACAGTAAATGTTCCACGAGCATTTTGTATGTGAGACTGCGTAGATACAGCCCAAAGGCACACTCAGTACGTTCAGCTTCCTTTGAGAAACAGCTTTTGTGTACAGATCACTTTTAATTACACAGCACAATTAAGAACATCCAAATGCAAGCTGCTTGAAGACTGTGTAGTTATTAAAACTGCAATATTTCTATAACCATTAACTAGTACTACATGACTATTGGAGAATTTTCAGCACAAGGCAATGCTAACCTTTTCTTCAAGGACATCAGGCATGGAGCAGTTTAACTTGTTTAAACACCGCATATTTTCTAAGCACTCCATCAATGCTTTGAGCTGATGCAACAGCATTTTGTACATCAATCTGAACAGAAGCAGCTCTTTTACCTGCAGCAGTTGGTCAAGTAGCAGCGTGCTGCTAGGGGAAAGCCATTTTGGAACAGTGTCTTTTCCTCTCTGCAATAAAAAAGTTATTTTCTTCACTAAAATAAGAGAGGATTGAGAATGAACCTTCAACAAATAGCTCAAAAGGAACTATTAAATTATTTGGATGATATTGACATCTCTTTTCTTTCAAAGCGTAGGAACAGAGATTACAAACTCTGCTTTAAGAACAGCTTGAATAAATGTAACGGTAAAAATTCACACGTGCTTGGCTGAGGGCAATGCTGGAAGGGAAACTGCTCACAAGAGCTACAAAATGCCCAACAGCACACCAGAAATACTTTGTTCTAACAACAGTTATGGCACATAGTCAATTTCCTTAAGTATTTCCCAAATGAAGTGATGTGGAGCATTACAGGGAAAAGAACACTGAACACAGATGCTGTGATTGGATTCAAGCAGTAGACTTAAACCAGTTCTGAGTTTTAGATTCCAGGATATCTCAGGATCTGTAACGTGTGACAGTCAATTACACAACAATGCCTCGGTGTCTGCATTCCAAGCACTTTTCAGATCACAGCCACATCAAATCAAAACAAATTCAGTGCAGAAATAGCAAGCCAGTATCTTAATACTTGTGAGAGTATCCATTTTTCACTGCATTCTGACTCAGTTCTGAAACTTGCTCATCCCAGTTCACTTAAACAAGTTCCACCAGTTCAAGCACTGCAGCCCTCAGCTCCTGTGTGTATCAGACAGACAGAACTAAATGGTGCAGAAACAATCTTGGACAGCTTTAAGAGCTCCATTCTGCTTACAGACTCGCAGTCCAAAACTATCCACAATTTTAAGGAAATGTACACCTGAAGTAGTTGGATCATTTTCCATTTGCCACGTTCTGCAAATTGGAGTAAGTGATTAGCACAAAGGATTTTCTGCAGTCCTGCAGAAATGGACAACGTCCTAATTACAAAGGGACAAAGGTTCAGTGCACAACACAGTTCACATGCTTAGCTTGTTGTGCGCTCTGAAAGGAAACAGAACGAACTGTTGAATTCAAAGGCAATCAGTGGGGTCCCACATTTCCTCCTGGTTCTGGAAGAGGAAATTCTGATAGCAGCTGCAGAACTTTGCTCTTCCTAGACATGAGAAGAGCTGGCATTCCATAACATTCATTTCTGGTAAATCAAACGATGTATTTCTATTTTTACTACACGTAGTACAGGGAGCAGCCAGTTGAAGAACCAGATACAGAAATTAGCCCATTGGCAAGTAAACACTTCTCCTCAAACTCTGCATGCTACCATGTTATATAATCAGGCTACAGCACCGCATAGGCCAACCAAGTGCAGAACCAAACCCACAAAATACTGGTAGACAAAGCAGCAAAAAAGGGGACAATATTCAGCAGACAGGCTTTTCCACACACAGCACAGCTCAGCATGTTCTGCCATCAGAGAAGCAAGGCCTCTTGTCATGCTCAGCTATTTCCCTTCTCAGTGTATTCTAGCACCATCAATACCTCCTGTTATCCTCCTGTAGAGTGCCATCACACTGCCATCGTCAAAAGGAAGAAACCCACACAGCAGAGCGTACCGCAGTGCACCCATGCTCCAAAAATCTGCCTGAAAAATAAAACAAGTTTACAAACCTGAAGCACCTAAAATGGCTTACTGACAGACTGCATTGTCCGCCCTTGCCAAAGGCCACATACAACCTACAAAAAGCTGGCTCTTTCCCCCAGGAAAAAAACCTTATGGCTCCAGACAAAGCATATGACCCTAATTCAATTGCTCTTCCGCTCAACTTAAAGCACTACGAAAACCTCTTAGCTCATCACCCTTCTGCAGTACCTTATACCTATAAGGATTTCACTGGCAAAAATGAAATCAAACCCATCACAAAGGATTTGGCATAGTTACTTGCTACTGGCTACAACGAGAGCTGCCAACAGTCAGCTGTGAGGCTCTGCTGCTGTTCTCTTTATGTACAGGCACAACAAGGCTCTACACCTCACAGTGCAATTCTCACTTTGACTGTAAAGAAAAAGGGGGCTTGAAAAGCAGTCTGTGGAAAACAAAGAAAGCAAGAATTAGAAGCCATCAACAGCGGTGCAATGGTACCCAAAAGAATTGCTTCATCTTTAACAGCAGAGCAATTCAACAAGCATGAGGGCATTTCAAACCAGACCAGTTGGGACAGATGAACAACTGCAAGTAGTGGGTTCCAAAGTTCGAAACATGAAATCAAGGCTGGAAAAACTCTTCACATGTTCGTCTCTCAATTTTTAGTACATTGTGCATTACAGTGGAAGCAAGTCTTCAACACAACTTGGAAGCTAAAGACAAGTCTAACAAAACATGTAAGATCCTGAGACCGCACAAGAGTTTGACCAGTGATGGACAATTAGCAGAGCAAATTGCTCTTTCAAAAACTTACTAATAGAAGGAGATCTCTGAAGTTGCTGTTTTACAGAGCCCCAAAGTAGGGGACAATTGGTGGAGACAGATGAGGATCAGCCAGAGACAAACCAGCCAGCTGTGTGAACTGTGGCCCATTGCACTTTTCAGTCTGTGGCCACTGACAGCTTCTGAGAGCCACTGAGCAACGCAACCCAGCAGAATTCAGGAGGGGAACCAAGTGAGCGTATCTGAGCTCCACTGCCTTTAAACGCTCTCTGGGGAGGGAAAGAGGGGAGAGGTGCAAAACAAACAAACTCTGGTCTGCAGACCTCTGAGCCAATATAGGCTTTGCTCTGGATTAGCTCTGGTGCTGCACATGCTGGGCTTCCACAGCACGTGTTCAGGCGGTCATCAAGGCCTCCCTGGAATAACACAGAAAACAGAAGAGTTTGCTTTAACAGAGTTCATGCTTTCTGTAAGGACATTTCAGAAGCCTCAGAGGCTTCTTCTCCTGGGCATACTTTCATTCACTATATATTTGGCTTTCATTCAATAGGTGACCTCACTAAGCAAATATTGTCCAAGACCATGAGCACTGTACAAATATACAGATCCCAAGCTGCTCACTTATCTGATGTATCCTTGGCATGATGCATTATTTTCCTCAGCTGATCATCTACTAAGATGAACTGTCTGCGCAAACACCAAACTGAGAAAGAAGTCATACAAGAGCTGTTGTGTTTGAGGCTCGCTGGTCATTTAGAGCAATTTCATGCAATCACTTCACAAACTTGACAAAGAACAACTGGTAGAATACTTCCTTATTCAGAGTATCCTATTACTCTACTTGGGTTTTGTGCTGAACAGGTCAGAGCAAGATGACATTATACCCCTGGGACAACAGCCTGTTGGTCTTGATTACCTGCGAGAGGCTCTAAAATTGGCCAGGAAAAGCGATTTGAGGATAAGTAATTCTCTTTGAATCAGGAAGGCACTCTTCCCATTAAATCCTTTCTCACCAGCACCCATCTGGCATGTTAAGTAAAGGCTCCTAGAAAGCCGTTTTAAGATCAATCAATTCTCAATTCAGTTCAAGCATATGCAACCACAGGATCTGTTTGTCACCTGCAAAACTTCTTGGTTTTATCCATAATCTCAATCTACACACAGTTCCTTCGAAGAGATAATGGCATGCCAGCCCAGTGCTCCTATGACAGGCCCTTGCATAAGACAGGCGATACACGTACAAGATTGTCTACAGTTAGACTGTGAAAATAGGAAGTCTGGGAAGAGAAAAGAATCTGAGTGTGCTTCTGAGCAATCTGTTCACTCTCACACAGCTAAGGCCCTTCCAAGCAGGATGCAACTGCATGTCAACCACAGAGACAGCTTGAATGTAGGGTGTTTGGGCAAGTCCCTGTTGCATACTGTAGAAAAACATGCATTACTTGAGGGCACATTATATTTGATTTCAGATACTCTTACCTTTGGCTTTGCACAGAGTCCAAAGTCTGTCAGCTTCAAATTATGAGAAACATGTTTCTCATCAATCAGCGGATTTTCCTGGTGAATGAAAAAGCAGTCAGGAATTATTTTCACCTGAACCCTCAAGGAAACATATTTTCTCTTCTGTTATTTCTTCCCGTGGTCAGTGGTTAGCAGGCTACTAAAAGCCCTCTCTCTCTCTCTCTCTGTCTCTCAGAGATTTTCACTGACTGCTAACAAGTTCCCATATCCCAGGTGGGAAATACTGGTTTGTATCTGTTAGAAAGGGCCCGGGGACTAGGAGGACAAGTGGTGAAAGACCACAAGATGAATGCAAGCCAGCAGTGTGTGTTGACAGGAAAAAAAGCACAACAGGATAACGGGCTGCATTCAAAAGCAGCACAACCAGACCAGGACAAGTCACCCCTGCTTCACACTCATTGGACCACATTTACAATACTGTATTTAGTTTTTGGCCGGGAAAGATAACAACCTGAAGCAAGCTTTGTGGATGGCCTCCAGTCAGTGCAGGGAGCTGAAGCTCCCACTCAGAGAAGAGAAACTGGGGAGAAAGAGGTTTGTTCAGAGTGCAGAGGAACCTCATGGCAACTTCTAAACGCCCACAAGGGAAGCATGAAGAAAGGAAGACAGATTCCTGAGAATCCGTATAGCAGGTCATGGTGGGATAGTGACCAAAAACAGTCATTAATGGAAACAGCAGACTGGACAGAAGGAAACAAAACTGCTCAAGCAAGATTACCCACAGAGAGCATGCAGCCTCATCCTTGGGAGAGGTTGAGCATGAAAACGAAAAAGCTCTGAGAAACTTGGTGTCAGGATTCTCGGAGCAGCAGGTTCAGGCACAAATCTCTAGAAGTCACCTCCATTCCAAGTTACTGTCCGAGCCTGTGAATCCACCAGCTTTTCAGCTGGAAGCCAGTTCCTTGCAAAAAGTATAGGCAATGCTTTATTTTTCAGAGGGGAAAGATTCTTTAGATACGAGGATTTCATAAGATGCCTAGGAAAATGCTAGTGCTGTAATGATTTGCTTTACTCGGCGATATCAGCAACTTGAGAAATGCAAAGTTCTAACCTACTTGTGTAGAAAGACTCAAACCTTCCAGTATCTAACCCGTGCTTAAAGCCTTCAGTGACAGAAAACCCACTGGATGGAGCCAAGGCATGCATCTCATCCCATACTCTGCATAGCCACTGTTTGTTTGAAGGACCACTGTTCCTTCAGGCACAAAACTGGAGCACACTGCACGCTGACACCTGTAGTTACTGCTAGGCAGTGTTGCACAGAGCCAAAGTCATTCTCAGCTGAGAGCCCAAAGAAGTGAGAGGGAACAGAATTAGGACAGCTGACTTAAACTGGCCAAAGGGAGATCCCACACCATATGACATGGTGTGGAAGGAGTTCTGAAGGGCGTAGAAGTTCATGTAAATCTCTTCTACTGCTGGGAGCCTAACTGGAAATTGATTGGTAGGTGGTGAGCAATTGCTTTTGCATTCATCAGAACTGTTATCCTTTTCCCTTCCTCTACCTCAGTAAATAATTTTATCTCAACCCATGAGTTCTACTTTGTGTGGTTTTCTTCCCCCTTCCATTACCTCCTGCAATTCACTGGAAAGGAGTGGATTGAGTGAAGCACTGCGTGATGCTCAGGCACCTGCCAGGTTAAATAAACCACAACCACAAAGGAACAACTTTCACTCCCAATGGAAAAATAAAAACACGCTCATTGTTATTTATGAAAGACTGAATACAGTTCAGACTTACTGGTTTGAGGTCTCTGTGGGCATGACCCTGACTGGGAACATAAGCAAGTGCTGAAACAGTCTGTCGAAAAAAGACTCGAGCTTCCTCTTCTGAAAGGTGGTCCTTAGAAACAATATAATCAAACAGCTTCCCTCCAGGACAATGCTTTAATGAGAAAGGTAAAGTTATCTGACAACGTATTTAGAATGCATCCGAGAAAAATAAGCAGCAGTGAGAGCACAGCAAGCACAGGACACCATTCCCTGTGCTCAGTCAGAGCAGTACAGAGTGCTCCAGTTATGCCATGGGCCAGCACTGTGGCACACCACACAAGCCAAGAAATCTGACCCTTAACTCCAATCTGGTAACTGAGGCACTGCACTCAATGTTGTGGGTGGCATAAATCACTCAGGAGATGGCAACAACGTGGGGGTCTGGTGTCCTGCAGACCTTTCAGATGCTACTTTAAAAACTGAAGTGTGAGTTAGGAATTAAAACCAGTTCCCTTACTGTGAATGCTGATTAGTGTCTTTTACAGAAAGACAGAATATAGAACATTGCATTCTTAATTTTAAAACCAATGAATCTTGAACCCATTCACCACTGAGATATTTAAGAATCGTTTCATTTCAGCTTCATTTCTATATTATTGTCTGCTGCTAAAGATAAAAACAGTAGCCTTAAGCGTGGCACAAGCTCTATTTCTTACCTCCAAGACCATGAATATTTTCTTTGATGTCTCTGTTACATGATACAATTGGCAAACATCTTGCTGACTTCAGTTCTTCATGGCACCAATTTCTGTTCTAACACGAGGCAAGTCATCCTTAAGAGACCATAAAAGCAAGCTATGAAATTGCTAACTAATTTGGCACACCAGGTACCACATCTGACTACTGTGTAACATAAGATGTCAAAGCCTGTATGTGACAGTACACAATTCAGCATCAACTCAGCAATGGCTGACATTACTCCCATAGGAATTCTAAAACACAGATCAGAGAAAGCTGAAAGGTAAAATATCCAGTATTTTCATTAGCACTTTGTTAAAGTTGCTGTAGTAATGTTGAACTTCCTCCATTTTACAGCCAGAGAGCATTGCCCTCTGAACAACGAGGAACAAGATTTGTGGTGTTCTGCTGAACTTTTTCCACTCCTACAGCATCCTTCAAAAGGCAATGGCACTAGTAGGTTGCATTTCTATATACCACCTCCCTGTGTTCTCAAGAACTCCACAACTGCAACAGAAGGTGTCATCATATTTAAATATCTTTTGGCTTACCCCTAAAGCAACTTGGTCCATGATTTTTGCTCCAACTTTTTCACCAGTAAAAAGATGCCGTCCGAGTTTCACCTCTGCAAAACCACCTAAAATTCAAAACAAAAAGGCTTAAAGTTGTGAATAACACTGCATGGCTCGGACTTCCTTACGCTAACAGTACAGAGCACTGCTCAGAGCTTCATGCCACACAGCAGCAGCAGAGCTGGACTACAGCTTTAGAATCACAGAATCACAAGGTTGAAAACTACCTGCAAGATCATCTAGTCCCAACCGCCCTCCCATCACCACTGCTCCCACAAGCACTCGACCAGATCTCACAGCTCCTCATCCAGATGCCTTTTGGACGCTGCCAGGGACGGCAACCCCGCCACCTCTCTGGGCAGCCTATCCTAATTCTCTTTCTCTCTCTGAGAGAAGAGAAAAAGTTCTGCCTTACGTCTAACCTAAACCTCTTCTGGTACAACTTGGGGCCATTTCCTCCAGTCCTGTTTGTTGCCTGGGAGAAGAGGCCAAACCCCTCCTCATCACAAGGAGCTTCAGGAAGTTGTAGAGTGCAATGAGGCCTCCCCTGAGCCTTCTCTTCTGCACACTAAACAATCCCAGCTCCCTCAGCCGCTGTTCATAAGACTTGTGCTCCAGACCCCTCACCAGTTTCGTTGCCCTTCTCAGGACACACTCCAGGGCTCAATGCCTTTCTTGCAGTGAGGTGCCTAAAACCAAACACAATACTCGAGGTGCGGCCTCACCACAGCTAAGTACAGGGGGACGATCACCTCCCTGCTCCTGCTGGCCACACTATTTCTAATGCAGGCCAGGAGGCCGCTGGCCCTCTTGGCCACCTGGGCACGCTGCTGGCTCGTGTTCAGCCAAGCACCCCCAGGTCCCTTTCCTCTTAACAGTCACCCAGCCACTCAGCCCCAAGCCTGTAACGCTGCACGGGGCTTACTGTGGCCAACGTGCAGGACCCGGCACTCGGCCTTGTTGAACCTCGTTAGGAAGCAGCGGGAGCCTCTCCCCATAGGCCTAAGCGGCCCAGCAGCGCTCTCTGTCCGTTAGCAGGGCCGTCTCAGCTTCGATCCCACCCCGCGCGCCACTCCGGCACAGCGCACCCCGGCCTTTCTGCAGGCCGCTCCGCCCGAGGAGCCCCGCCGCTTCAGCGCAGACACACGGAGCGCTACTCCCAGCCCCCCAACCTCCTTTCCGGGGCGACCTGGCCTCCGCCGCAGACCGGAATCGCGCTCCGACGGGCCGAAAGCGAGCGGGGCAGCCGGCAGCTGCACAGAGCGCGGCCCGGCCGGCAGCTCGCCGGGTTCCAACTTCGCTGTCAGAACGCTCACTTCCGGTCGGGGGAGAGGATGGACCAATCACCGCAGCGCCAAAACCGGAACCGCTGTTGTCGCGCAGTGCATGACGGGAGGAAGGTAGGAACGGGATGCGGTGCGGTGCCTCAGTGCGCCATGGTCAGTGGGTCTCCGGCTCCACTGCCGCGCCGAAGGGAGATGGAACGCGGCGGGGAAACTGAATTTATGCAGCCCAAGGAGGTCTGGATTGCCGCATAACACACATTCGTTAATGACGAGAATCTGTCAGAGCTGTTTCCTCACTGCCCCCAAAAGCACTTTGAGTGTTTTAGGAGCATCAGTGGAATTTTGAATCAACTCGGCATATTGTAGCAAAGCTGCAACAGCTGTGTGACAGAACTTTGGGAAAAAAGTGATCTGTAACAACTGTTGAATAGCGTGATTTAATTATCATCTGGTAATTACATTAATCAAACCGAGGGAATCAGCTCCCAGCCCAGCAGGTGCAACCAGTACAAGCTGCTCCTACTCTCCAGGGCCCATGCAGTCTTACCCAGGGGTCTCCAAGGACTCCCCTGTTGACTTCTGGCTTCCAGTGCCCCCTAATGTGCCACAGAGGTTTCTCAGGACCCACAGTTTGCTCTGCAGATATCCAGACATGCCCCAGAGCAATCATGCGTGCTGCAGGGGGACCAAGAGACATCTCAGAGCACCCTAGTGCCTTCTCACAGCTCCTCAGTGTGCTTGAGGGCTCTTCGGCTGTTTCCAAATATTTCCAGATATGCCCTGCTGGACTCCGACGACATTCACATCTTCCAAAGCAGAAAGCTCTATCCATTATGGTCCTGGACTGCACAGTCAAGGGAGGCTGGAGGGAAACGGTGCAACTACGTACAGCTCTTCTTTCAATGCTAGGTGCTGTCCTCTGACAAGTTCAGTCTTTGTTGGTCTTCAGCAACCGGATGGAAGAGCTGCTTGATGCAGCGCATCTTAACGCACGGTCGTCTGAGAATTGCAGCTGTAAGGAAGTCCACGCCACCCAAAGGCTTTGTGTGAAACCACAGCTCCTGAGCGGCAGATCGTCCTGATGTGCTTGGGGAAAACTGGGTTTCACAAGCTGCTCCCATCTTAGACATCCGTAAAAGCTTGAAACAGCTCAAGATAAGCAACACTAAGCTTGAAGAGCAATTACATTCTGATTAGCCCAGCTATCCTTTGTGAATTACCTGCAGTTTTCTTTCAGCAATGCAAAACTTACCTACAGAGAAACCCGCACTCCTCTATGCCAAATTTAAATCCACCTGGAGGCATCCACACTGAGAAGTTACATCTTCCCTCTGCAGGCTCCGCTTCAGCATCTGCCAGATTCTGAGAGGTACACGCTGGGGTTTTCCCATCGAGTTTAAAGGACAGTTCTTGAAGAGATACTGCTGAACGAGTTTTGTTTGCATTCTGCAGGGCAACACATTTTGGGGCAGTGGGTTCATTTCTCACTGAAGAGATGTTACAGTCCCACTGCCCTTCCTTTTTCGCAAAGGCGGATCCTAATTTGTCCTGTGCGGCACTGACACGGGACTCTGCAGGTTTTAAACCTGTGGGTGCAAACGCAGGTTTTGTAAAACAGCCTGGTTCAGGCAGAGGTGGATTTGCACTCGCCTGGGGCAGGCCGTAGTTGTAGCGATCATCACCTCCACGAGGAGAAAGGATTCCAGCAGACGGAGCATCAAAACACACAGGTGCACCACAGGTGCCTTGAGGAAACACAGCAGCACAAGTGCTGTGCAGAGGCGGCGCGTGGATCGCTTGTTGCTGAGCACGTCGACGTGCTGAGGTGCAGCTCCGTTCACGCCACAGACAGGCGCCTAAAGAAAAACACACCGTTACTTCCTCGTGCAAAAGGAGAAAAAGGGATCAGGGGGCTGAAGCCCATGCAACGTGCACTCTTCATAGCAAGGTGCACCTTAAAATTAGATTTCAACTCTCATCAGTTTAAACTGAAATCATACGTTCAAAACTTGGATGGTATCTGAACACACAGACTGGAGAGAAGCGTAAGTGAACTGACTCATTTCCTTTAGTACCAAAACAGTCAAAACCAGCAAGTCCCCATACTATTTTGGGGAAAAGAACATCGCAGACAACGAGCAGAGGACATGTGCCAGCACGTTAAAAACATCCTTTGCTGGCTGTTTCTCCCAAACCCCACGTCCCAAAGATCAGCTGATAATGGAACTTTCTGCCTGTCTCCAGCAGACCTCAAGTGTAGTAAATGCTCTCTAGGGAACCGCAGTTATACCCAGCTGCACACAGAATCACAACCAGCTGTTCTCAACAAATCAGTAGAAATGGCTTGAGCAGATTCGTTTGTCCTCACCTCTGTTGGTGGTACACTGGTTGCAGCAGTTCTTCGAAGACACTGCGAGTCACAGCAGGTGACTGGCTACTGCAAACAGACAGGCCAGAGGTAGCAACTGAAAAGGAACACCAAGAAAAGGGTTTGCATCCAGTTTTCATTTCTGACTTGAATGAACTTTCCCCAGGGACCAGTTTTACTCATTCATCTCAGAACACTGCAGAAAGGTTTTAAGAAGTCTCACTGTTTAGCTAAGCGGTCAATTAAAAATCCAGCATCAACTTACCCTTCCAAGGAGCTTCACGAAGATGTTGTGCTCTCCCATAACCATCTGACACAGTATCTGCTCCACAGCTTTCAGCAGGCCAGCAATGAGATGGCACGCTTACACTGCAACTGTTACGTTTCATTTCCCGTGTTTCATTCTGTTAAAGACAGGGTTTCAATTAAGAGAATGGAAACGTATGAAACACAGGTATGTGGGGAAAACCCAAGGAATGCTCCCTACGCTCCTTTGCTATTTAAAAGCACGTTCAAGATCTGAGACAAAAAAAAAAAGAAGAGTTAACTGCTGCAATAATCCACGATCTGCCCATGCTTTACAAAACCGAGACTGTGCCCTGAAGCTAGAAATAAACCCAGAACCAAGATGACAACAGCTAAGCTGAAGAAAGCACAACTTTCTGCACACACAATCCTCAGGATTACTTCCTATATCTGAGTACCAAATTAGAGTTTGTAGGCAACAAAGTTTCACTCTTGCCCTGAATTTAAGAGGATGTTTACAGCAGTTCTCTTCGCTGAATTAAGAGGTAGCCTGGCAAGTGAAGCTTAGTTCAGTGCTTGGGTGACAAAGTACTTACCAGAACAAAAAGATCAACTGTTCTGCATCCAGTATAGTGACAGAAGCTGTTTACCTTTAAAGCTTCCACTTGCTGACTCAGCTTTTGAAGTAAGGACTTGTGGTCTTCTGCCCACTGAAGGAGAGTCTGAGCAAAGAAAAAAAAAAAAAGCTTACTGAACTTGGATTTTCTTACACAAAAGGAACACTTCCCTAAAAGAGTAACCGGCTAATATAGCTGGTAGGTGTTAGTTGGTGAGAAAGAGAACTTCTTGGGTGATGGAACTGCATCTTCCACTTCCACGTGCGCAGCTCTTGAGATGTTTCTGGAGGCAAGACTTCCCTCCTCACCGTTCTCCCCAAGCTCCCGGATCACTGCCTTCAGCATTTCCGTCACAGCTCTAACAGATACCGGCAGCTAGAAATGGATTGGAAACGCAAGTCGTGATGGCAATTCTTCCTCAGAGCAAGAGACTGCGTCCTGATCTACGGCTGAACAGTGCACACGGCTTTCTGCAGAAACTCGGGGTGTTTTTGTTGTTGTTTTCCCCCAGGAAAGCCCCACACCTGTTAACATTAACTAAGAGGACCATTCACACAAGCATTAATTCTTTTACTTACTTGGGCAGCTACTGACGGGTCAGAGGAGCTTTCCTCAATGATCTTCATCAGGCAGTGCTGCCTTTCAACAACACAGGCTTTGCGTTCTTCTTGTTCCTCTGGTAGCACACCATCACTCTCAACCTCCTCTGCCTTTCTTTGACAAAGCTAAGTAGCAGCATATCGATCAGGAAGAATTGGTCAGAACGCAAGTGACAGAAAAGCATTCTGAGGTAATGCAATTTACAAACTTACAGTGCATAGGTTCCAGTACGAAACCGCATTGTTAACAGCTTCAAAGGCTAATAAAGCATCATCAGTTTTGCCTTCAGCTGCACCCAGCGTTGCAAAAGCCACACGTGCCTCTTCTTCACAGGCTGCAACCTGGAGGACCTACAACCAAAGCCACAGACAAGTCACACACAACACAGTGTGGACACCTGGAACAGTCGGTGTAAGACTGTAAGCATCTAATAAGTAGGCAGATAGGAGGAGGTTAAGACTATGCCTGGTTTCCCTGTATGACGGGAAAGCAGCTTTTCAGAAAGCTGGTACTAAGGCAGTTCAGTGTCCTCCAATCAGAGAGTTTTAAAACTCCGAGGAGTTCAACAGAAAGATACTACCAAATCTCTGCATTAGCAGCACAGTGACAAAAAAATAAGACAACCACCACCCATCAACACACAAAGCCAACCAAAACAAAACACCAACCAACCATTCACGTGCAAGCCCGCGACGTACAACCCCTCTTACTCTCCTCTTTGAATATCCGTCAGTACCTGGATGTCCACACTGTGGAAATGCTTGAAGAGAGGATCAGCAGGTTCAGGAATACTTCTGTGCTTTTTGATAGTTTTCAAGCTAAGCAGAATTTCCTTCCAGTAGCAGACGCTTCTTCCCATAGATTCTTTCTGGTCGCACGAGTTCAGGCTAACGCCCTGTTGAAGAAGAGAAATTCAAACTGTCACAGAAAATTCCAATAAAATGTCATTCTTACTTTTTCTTCTCTGATGCAGTTGTTTTCTCGAGAAGTTTCAAGAACTTTTCTCTGACACTTGGGACGTATTTCAGAAGATCTCTCTATAGTCACAGAAAGTAACACGGGGAGAAAACAACGTTGCTTTTACCTGTGCTGTTCAGAGTAGTGAGGTAGAGAGTACTTGTCAGGCAAGGTGATTGCTCCAGTCATGCCACCAAAATCAGCAGCACTTCTCAATACTACATTCTCATCTGATTTTATTTAGCCTGTTACGTTTGCAAATTAGAGAAAAACAGACGGTACTTATTTACAGACAATCTTAACTTACTGTTGCTTGCAGGCTTCTTGCCCAGTGTATAATTAAGGCAGGTGAAGGCCGTGTCTCTCCAGGGCTCACACAGTACTCCATCCATGCTGTACAAGAAGCTTCAGCTTGGCTGCCGAGTCTGGCCTGAATGTCAACAGAAACATTCCTCAGTTAGCATTCCCTCTTTTCCATCTGCTCACACGTCATTTGTTTGATGAACACAACAAGCAGCTTTAGTCCTAAGCCAGTACTTCTTTACAAATGCAATATCAGAAATGTAAAGCCCGTTTTTACAAAGCTCTTCACCATCTCACACCCCTGCAGCAAAAAACCTTGAACGTTCAAACAAAAGGAACTGGTTTTATGCAGCCCATGGCAATCAATTCAGAAGCCCTCTAGAAGGTTGCTTCCAATATTTCCAAACTGAAGAATTCCTACGTTGCTTTTTCTGCATGAGAGTACACACAGCATCCCACCAAGACCTTTGCTTCTCAGTACAGTTCTGTTTGCACAGCAGCAACGGTAAGCAAGGAGGTTGATGTGTGCCAAGCTGAGTGCTGAACTTCTCTTGCAGTTCTAAGTTGCTAGTGAACACCATCCCGAGTAAAAAATCCTGCTTTGGTAAAAACAAACAAACAGAAGGAATTAGGGACCAAAAAACCGGCATTTAAATGCATTTAACAACTTGGGAAGCTTGCTTACTTCAAGGACCAACAGGCAAATGGATTCAGGAGCATCTGCTTCCAGTCTCGATGTCTCGTGGGGTGAGTGAAAAAGTTGTTGTAACGATCTGCGCAGTGGGAATAACACTGACACAGAATTCCACTGCAAGCCAAGCCACGCGAGGTGCTGGAGACTACAGCTGTGCATCCAAACAGCACCTGTGCAACAAGGGTTGTGAGAAGCGAGGGTCTGCGTCCGAGTTAGGAAGACCTGCCTCTGATCAGAGCTGGGTTTCACTGCAAGAGGAGCGAGCTCTGAACGTTTCTCCCATCAAAGCACTTCCCACCAACCTCCTCCCACCTGAAAGACAAATTCTATCTTAACGTCCTGCAGACAAAAAGAAAAAGCCCAGTACGTGCCAGGATCAAACCGCTGCTTGCAATTCATACGCAGCCAAAATGCAGAACGTTTTATGGTGTGTTCCAAGACGCCAAGCGTGCTCTTTAACAAACCTTTAACTCTGACATTAGCTGCTCATAAGATTAAAGCAGAACTACGGAACATTTGTAATTACTAGTTTTATTACCACACTGGCTTTCGGTCACAGGCCAACATTTCCAGCACATCTTGCCCAGCACCATCTCCTCTTATTAGTTTTGACCTTGGCTTAGGAATCTGGCAAAGAAAGAATAGAATTGCTACAGCTTCTTGACAATAAAAAGCAAATCTCTTCATTTAGTCTTACAAGTTAGGAAACAAGCTTGTTTCTTCTCAGGAAAGGACACGAGATGAGTAACTGAACAATTGCAAACAGCTGTAAGAGCGCACAAGACAAAGCGATGTTCTGAGCGCAAGCACTTGTGCAAAAGGAAAACTGATTGTATTCCATAAAGCACAGAATTCAGCTTGATCAAGCTCTGCTGTCTATGCAATAAGCGTGTGAGAGCTACTCGGGTCATTCCCCTCCCTCCCGTATCAATAACCTTAATGTTAGTTAATGCAGCTGCATTACAGAGAAGGGAACAGCCTACAGGAAATACACTCGTTAGCCCTTCAGAGTCATTGCACTGCTGACAAGTGAAACAGCTGAGATTCACACCACTTGAAATCTTTCGAACAAGTACGAAAGGGTAAGATTTGGCGAGGAGACAGCCTTAAAAACAGCAGCTAGTTTTTGGAACGCAGGCGTTCAATGCGTGCACAGCGAGAGCACTCAACTGCAACCACTGCAGGCACAAACTGAACAGGGACTTACATGGAAACCGTTCAGGTAACACCAGGCTGCGAGTTCACACGCATCTCTCCATCGTGCCGCGCTGCTCTGGGCTGTTTCCAGCAGGAAAGTTCCAGCACGCACGTAGAAGCGTCCCGCTCCGCACAGCGCCGGCATCGCGACCGCCGCCTGGAGCGCGACGTCAAGGCGCCCGCGGAGCCGCTCGTCTCCAGCGAGTTCCCCAGCGCCATCGCCGGGCCGCGCCGCCCGCCCGGACGTCCCGCTCCCCCACCTGCCGGCGGCCGCCAGCCCGCGCTCGCCGCTCTCCAGGAAGGCCCGCACGGAGCGAAGCGGGGCCGGGGCGGCGCAGGCTCGGCCTCGCTGAGGTCCCCCACGTCCCCGCAGCTGCGGCCCCGGAAGCGGAGCGGGCGCATGACGACAGGCATCACCGAGGGCAGCCGGGCGAAGCCGCGCGGTGAGGACGCGATGACCGAGCGCAAAGGACCCCGCCCGGACTGCCCGCCCCGTTCGGCGGACTGACCAATGGGAGAGGCGAGGGGGAGGGACCGAGCGCGGGCGCCCCGCCAACGGCGGCTGCCGACGAGAGGCCGCCGCGATGGCGATGGGGCCGGCGGGATGGCGGAGCCGCGAGGCTCCGCGCGGAGAAAGCGGCGCTCCGCCGCCCCGTGCCTCGGGGACGCCGGGCGGTCAGGGGAAGGCACCGCCGCCGGCCCCGTCCGTCCCCCGTCGGAATCCAGCTGTTCTCGGAGGCGGAACCGAGCCGTCCTCCGTCGTTGCGGCGAGGCGCCGTCCCCGCTGAGTGACGTCATCAGCCCCGCGACCCGAGCAGGGGGCGGCCGTGCGGAGCAGCCGGGCCTCCGAGAGCCGCCTCGGCTTCTGCAGGTGGCTGTTCGGGGGGCACCGGGGCGGGGGCCGGGGTTCAGGTGCTGCAGGGGCCGCGTGCCGCTCTGCGTTGGCCTCGTGACGTCACTGTGGTGCTCGGGGTTCCGCTCGGCGGGGGCGGCTGCCCTGCGTCTCCCCGCCTCCCCCACCCCGTGCGTTTCACTGCCCTCCTCCCCTCCCCCTGCCACGGATCGCCCACAAACCCCCCCCGTCCCTCTGTGTGACCCCCGGGGTTGCGCCTCCCTCCCCCTTTTTCCCCCTTCCGTTTCCCCCGTTCTGATCCCTGTAGTTCTCTTCCAGCCCTCCCCTCTGCGCCTCCCCCATTCTGACCCCCAGGGTCCACCTATCTGTCCCCCCGCCCTCCCGATCTCTCCCCTGTCCCCTGTTCTGATCTCTAATGTCTCTCCACCCCGTCACGAGTCTCCCCATTCTGTGCCCTAGAGTCCCCCCACTTTCCCAGTCCCCTCTATCTGACCCCCAGAATCCCCTCTCCTCCTCCCGGGTACCCCCACTCCATTTCCCCCATTCTGATCCTTAGAGTCACCCCCCATTACCTTCTCTTTGACCCCCAGGGTCCCGTGTCCTCCTTGCTCTCCCCACCTTCTGACCCCTTTTTCTGACCTCTAGAGTCCCCTGTACCCCCTGTGTGCTTCTCCCTGACCCCTGGAGTCAGTTCCCCCATTTTGACATCCATTCCCCCCCAACCGGACTCCTTTTCTGCCCAATAGAAGCCCCCCACAACCCCTGGCTCTCTCCTCCCACCCCTTCCTCCCTCCAGCCCCAGATGCGCTTTCTGCCTTGCAGAGGCTCTGTTCACCCTTTTCCCTTCCACAACCCACTAAATTCCCCTCCAACTCTTTTCCAACCCCATAGGCACCCCACTCCCCTCTTCTCCCCCAGATACTCCCCTGAGGTCTACCCCAGACACCCACCCCATAGAAGCCCCCCACAACCTCCTCACCACTCCTAGACCCCCTTTCCTCCCTGTAGAGACCCCACTCCTTTTCCCCCTCACAGTCCTCCATCCACTCCCAGACCTGCCCTTTCTGCCCTACAAAAACCCCTTTTCCCCCTTTCAACTAACTCCTCAAGTTGCCCTCCACAATATTCCCCTCCACAATGTAACCCTCCACCCCCAGACCCTCCTTTCCACTCACAGAAGCCTCTTTCTCCTCGTTTCCCCCTCACAATCCCCTCTCCACCCCCAGGTCCCCTTTCCACATCACAGGGCTTCTAGCCCACCACAATCCCCCAGTTTCCCTCTTCCACCCTTTCTCCACCTCCAGACCCTCTTTCCACCTCACAGAAGCCCCACTCACACCTTTCCCCCCCGTAGATTCCCCACAACCCCCTATCCACCCCCAGACTTTCTTTCCACCTCTAGAAGCCTCGCTAGCCCCTTTTCTCCCTCCCGCAACCTCCCCTATCCACCCCTGGAGTCATGCAGAAGAATCTGCAGATGTCCTCGAGGGGTTTGGGGCATGCGGGGGTGTTCCCAGCTGGGTCCAGGGGGATCCTTGGGTTCATCCTGAAGGGTCTGGAGATGTCCCAGTGGGGTCTTGATGTCCAGGGGGTCTCCAGGATGCTCCCGGGGATCCCTTGAAGGATCTGGAAACTCCGAGGATGGGCTCAGGAGCTCTGAGGAGCCTCTAGGATGATCTGGAGATGTCCCACCAGGAGCCCCTATGGCCCCATAACCACTACAGCCTCATCTCATAGCCATCCCATATCCTTATCCCACACCTTTATCCCATCCCATATCCATCGCATCCACCCCATAGCCATCTCAAACCCATCTCGTATCCATCCCTCCACACCTCGTCCCCATCCCCCACCCCATTCCCATCCCAAATCCATGTCCCCACAGATCCTGATTGCAAACAGGGCTCCCCAGTGGCTGCGGGTCTGGCTGGTGGCAAAGTGCTGGGGCAGGTGGTGATGCACCTTTCTCCATCGCTGAGCTCACGTGGCCATGAGTAGGCCCACTGCCTCGCTTATTGCCTTGTCTGTTAAGCTTCTCTCCTGGCTACAGACGCTGCTAGTAAATACTATTGCTCGTGTTATGTTGTCATAGGCAATAAAATAAGCCTGTCCCAAAGACATTGGTGTCTTTGTTCTCCCTGTTGAGCCCATGGATTGGCACAACAGCATCAGCACGCGATGGGCACGAAACTTGGACATCAGCAACGGGACTTGAAAGGCCAGCATCAGGACCGTCTCTTTTGGAGAGAGACTGAGAGACTGGGGCTCGTTGAGCCCGGAGAGCAGAAGGCTCTGGGGAGACCACGTGGCTGCCTTTCAGCACACGAGGCCTCACAGATCACCCAGTTCCAACCCCCTGCTGCAGCCAACAGCGAGATCAGGCTCCAGGTCAGGTTGCACAGGGTGCCATCCAGCCTGGACCTGAACACCCCTCAGGACGGGGTGCGCACAGCGTCTCTGGGCAGCTGTGCCAGCAGCTCACCAGCCTCAGCCTGTGTGACACGTGGCAGGTTCTCGTGCCGTTTGCCGAGTAAAGCACAGCGATGGTCGATATTTCAACCTCACCTGGTGTGCGTGTGCCTGTGAACGCACAGGTTTCTGTTTATTAGACAGATGTGAAACAGTTGCTCTTACAGAACCATTAAAGTTAGGCTTGCGTTCCTGCGTACCGTAATTCAGTAAGCTGAGCGGAACTGCTCCTGGAAGAGGAGCTGCCCTCTCCGTGCCAGTGACCTAACAGAGCTCCAGGTGACACGGGCTGATGTCACAATGCCTAACAGAGCTCCAGGTGACACGGGCTGATGTCACAATGCCATGCGCTGCATCACAAGCAGATCTTCCCCAGGGCAGTGGCAGGGCCGGCACTTCCCTGCAGGGCCTGGGCGCTGCTGCAGCACTGCTCAGGGGCTCTGTCCTTCTGCGACCAGGAGTCGATTCTGGGGCAGCCAGGCTGCTCTGGGTGACCCTCGCTGACGCGTGGAGGAGCAGGGGCGCTTTGCAGAGAATTGTTGGTTGGTTGAGGAGCCTTGTTGGCGGAGGGCATCCTTAGTTCTGAACTGAGGCTGTCGGCAAGCCACATGGAAGGCTGCTGGACTGTGAGCGTCAGCTCGAAGCTGGCCTACTCGTTCCTAACGCTGCTGGAACTCTCTGCTGAAGGTAAGGCTGTCCGGACCCCCTTCCCAAGGCATCGCGCGGGGCTGCTGGTTGTCCAAAGCCGCAGCTCCTGCTCTCTGCGCTTGGCTGGACGTGGCTGGGGGCTGCTGCGAGAGCCCTGCCCAAGGATCCCGCTGGGCTCTGGGGACCACGTGGCAGCCAGGTCCCGAGAGCAGAGCTGCCCAGAGCCCCCAGTTCCTTTAGGCATGCTCGGTCCCCTGTGATAGGGCAGTCCGAGGCCAGGTTTCCCTGGCAGACGGTGTTTCCGTAGGTTGCAGCTCTGGGAGGAAAGGCATCCCGTGTCCCAGAGGCTTCCTATGTCCCCGTTTCCCCCTGGGGCTCCAAATAAGGCTGAAATCGGAGCAAAGCCCAGCTCCGGTAGCCATGGTGGTGCTTTTCTGGGGTGTGTGCGTGTACCTGCACCGATCGCTGTCTGTGTGAGGAGCTTGCCAAGCAGCTGTGAAGAGGCTGGCCTGGAGCCTGACTTGTCTTTTCTTTCCTTTGCAGAGATTGTGGCGGTCTGGGACGCTGTGTCTGACTACATCTTGGAACAGATGAAGCTGGGCAAGGTGGGCTGGTGTGCTGGTGACCCTCGCCCTGGAGAGGGGTTCAGTCCTGCCGAGAGTGTGGGCCCCGCAGAGCAATCCCTCCCTGAGCACCACACTGAGCAGCACGCTGAGCCCAAGCCAGGTGCCCAGAGCGGCTTGTTGGCCAACTGGGAGGGAAAGCCAAGGCCAGAGCTGCTCTGAGCAAATGTTTGGCACACGCAGGGGCTTCGCTCTGCCCTAGTCAGAATGGGGAGAACAAAGGGAGAAATGGGTGGGGGGTTTTTCTGGCCCTGTGCCGAAGATAATCCTTGGGATCAGTCCCAGGCTTCAGCCCTGTGCTGTCCATGCCCAGGCTCTTCTCTAGCCGAGGGATGTTGGGAAATACTGTGCGGAGGTGACTGTCTTGCAGGGAGCACAGACTTTTCCAAAGCTTTCCAGAGAGCCCCATCTCACCCCGCTGTCCGTCAGGAGTGGGGAGGGCGGAGAGCAGTGACCCCACGCTCCTGATGTTCATGGCTTTTGCCCCCCCCCTAAAGTACACGCTCGTCAGCCTTTCTGTCTTTTCCCTGTGCAGGGAGTCCTGATTCCGGGACTCGGGGTCTTTGCTGGGGTCCGAGAGCAATTCCACAGCAAAGAAGAGGCGCGTTCCGTTCTAAGGCCTGTCTTCCAGCTGGACATCGGGGTGCTGTGGCTGCAGGAACTCCAGTCTCCCAACGACATCATCCCTGGTGAGAAGGCAGCAGCCACCTTCCCCTTCCCGCCCCACGTCCGGCCAGCTGTGTTCTCCCTGCTCTTTGGAAACGGCCGGGAGCAGCAGAGAAGTGTCTGCAAAGCTCGGGGTGCAGCGCGAGTTCCTCCAGGAGGAACCGCAGCCCAAGAGCTGTTTCTCCAAAGGACCTTTTCTGTGGGATTTGGTTATGAATGCTGCATGGGCTGGCTGTGGCAGTGAGGATGTGCCTTCTCCTTGCAGACGATGTCAAGATTGAGCCGCTCAACTACCGGCAGCTCTCGCGAGCCTGCGGCGTCCCGCTGCACTTGGTGCTGCGCTGCGTGCGGGAGAGCGTGCTCCTGTACTGTCACCTCCTGAGGAGCAGGGAGCCCGTCCTGTTCGTGTTCAAGAACCTCGGCGTTATGACCTGCCAAGACGACTTCCTCCTCATGAGGTTCTTCTGCAGCTGCATTGAAACGCTGGAGAGCAATGCCACCGTCCTCGCACTGATCCACACTGTAAGTTGAGGAGGTTGTGAGGTGCGCTGTCGGATCACCGCTGGCCAGCCTGGACGTGGCAGGCCAGTCCAATGCCTTTCCCCACACTTGCCCCCACGGCTTTCTCCACTGGCAAAGAGATTTCCTGGATCTCTGCCCATGCAGAAAGCCTGGCAGTGCTCTTGCGCGGCCTCGCTATTTTGCCATCCTGCTCCTTCAGAGCAGAACAAAGCTCTGATGTTCACGGAGGAGGCTTTGGTGGAGAGCAGCTTTCTCTTGGCATGGGAGCCAGGCTTGCTTCCTGTCAAACAAGAGCCATGAAAAAATGTCCTTGGCAAGCCTCCAGCAGGTCTGTGTCCCTTTGCAGAGATTCTGGACGGACGATTCTGCTGACTTCGGGCCAGAGACCGTTGCCCATGGCATCCGCGTGTTCCCGAGGTGAGTGCATTTCCTCTGCAGCACTTAGCTGGCCAGCAGACAGGCTTCCTTCCACCTCCTCCTTTGGGTCGTGCCCTGCTGGGTCTCCGTGCTCAGCCTCCAGTCAGGGAGAAATGCTGGAAAGTCTGGCTCCTGGTTCTCCACTGCTGCCTTTTGGCTTTTTGGGGAATCAGGGTTGTGTTACTGGTGCCCAAGCTGTCCCGATTCCCCTCAGAGAGAACGGACTGCACGTGCAGAGTAATTTGGGCTACGTGTGCTGGTTTGGCAATGCCAGGAAGGAAAAGGGTGCAACGCTCTGCAGAGCACAGGGATAAATACCACCAACCAGCTGCGTGGGGCAGGAGGTCATCCTTCTTCAAGGATTGTCACTCTCTGTTTCCAGGTTTCAGCTCACCGTGGAAAAGAGCAGAGCAGAGGCCGCCGCAGAAGAAAAAGCTGCCATAGAGCGGAAGATGAGTAAAGGTGAGGAGCGGGTCCCAGCTGTAGGGAGGGGGGTCCTGTCCCATGCCGGGTGACCGGATCCAGGTTCACGTGCCGTGCCCGTGGGGCTGCTCTGAAGAACTTCTTTCTCTCTTGGTTCCAGGGGTCTCTGCCTGCAGTCTGCTGCAGAGGCGGAAGACACTTCCCCCCTCCATGCTGCTGCAGCGCAAGCCGAGCTCAAGGCAGCAAGATGTGGCGAAGGAGCCTTCTGCCAGGTGAGGGCCTTGGGCGAAAAGAAGGAGATGCGTGCGCTCGTGTAGGAGCGGCCTCCCCTTCGGAGCTGCCAGCTCTCGGCACCCACAAAGGCTCCTGACACACGTGTGTCCTGGGGGGGCTGTTCTCTCCGGGGCGGCAAGCGTGCAGCACGATCGCCTGAGGCAGACACACAGCTTCATGTTCCACCCTGGCCCCAGTCCCTGGGAGAGCTGAGTGCCGATCCCTACCGATGGCAGAAGCTCTTCTCCCTTCAGGGGTCTCTCCGCTCTGCACCGGAGCCCATCTTGATGGCTGTGGGAGCACGGGGGAAATCGAGGTGCCCCGGGCTCCTGCAGACTCCTCTTGTGTCTGTTTGCAGCGCGCTCCCGCCGTGTGCAGGCAGCTCCCGCGGGACGAAGAAAGCGGGACAGAAGGAAACATCTGCTGCCCAGACCAGCGCTGCACTCCCTGCCACCGAGGAGTCTAAGAGAGTGCTGCAGGTACCGGCTCTGCCTTGCTGCAGGGACTGTGCTGCTTGAGACTGCACCAATCATAGGATGGTAGAATCCTAGGAAAGTTTGGGTAGGGAGGGGCCATTCAGACCGCCTGGTTCCAATCCCCTGCTGCAGGCAGGGACACCTGTCTCCAGACCTAAGCCCGACCAGCCTGGCCTTGAGTGCTTCCGCAGGGAGGGAAGCAAAAGCCTCTGTGTGTGCAGTGATCTGGAGCACAGCCCTTCGGGTGCCACCGTTTCACATTTCTGTCCGCTCCTTCACCTCCTCTTTGGTAGATGGAGGGTGCTGCACACTTTCCCCGTCTCGCCTCCTGGCCTGCCACCTGCCACAGCACTCTGATTTTGAGCAGGGGCCGTGAGAGAGGAGCCACGTTTGCCACGAGTTGCGGATCCTGGCCTGCCTTTGGGGCCCCTGGTCCTTCAGGGGCAAAGCAGTGCTCACAGGCCGGCAGAGGCGAGGAGCGGAAGCGGGGAGCTGAAGGAAGGCCCCAGGGGCAGAGGCTGATCCTGTATGCTGCTGTGTCTCTGCAGGAGCTCCGCAAAGAGTCTGCGCTGTGGAAAGCAGACCACACGTGGCCCATGCACCAACAGCAAATAGAGCGAGCACAGGCAGAAATGGCGGCATGGGAAGGCTGGAGCGCAGGGGAGGACCAGCATCCGCCCCAGGTACCGTCAAGGATCGACCCTGCTGGCAACAGCCACTGAGCCAGGGTGCGAGCTCAGCAGGGCGCAGGGGGTGGGAGCGGGACGGGCGCCGCGCAGCATGGCAGGGGCTGGCCCGCTCCTCCCGGGAGGAGAGCTTGGCACAGCCCCGCAGGGAGAAGGGAAGGGCAGCGGGAGCCATGGGCCAGCAGGGCTGAGTCTCCTGCTTGCCGGGGCCTGCTGCAGGGCCCTTGGCAGAGGGCCTCTGGGGAACAGCCCTGTGCTCCCAGCCGCTTTGCTGACAGCGTCTCCTCTTTGGCAGCTGCTGGCCAGGGAGAGCGTGCGTGTTCCGCATCCTCCAGCCCAGCCCAGGAGACAGCAAGTGCAAAGGAGATGGAGGAAGGATGAGGGTCTGCTGCCGGGAAGTATAATGGGGACGGCAACCAAGCTGACACTGCATGCTGAGTGAGTGTGTGTGGGCTCTGCCGGCTGCCTGAGGCTCTCGGGCAGCTGTGACTGCAGCTCAGGGACAGGAACGGCCCGGGCCAAAAACTGCTGGTGGGGTGCAAGGCTGGGGACACCGGGGGGCAGCAGGGGGTGCGGGGCCGGGTGAGGGCAGAGGCAGGGGCGGCTCAGCGGAGCCCGAGGGATGACTTTCTCCTCCTGTTGCAGCCTCCTTTCCCCACGAGCGGCTCAGGTGCTCCGAAGGTTGGAGCCGCACCTCCGTCAGCAAGAGGCTTTTGCCGGCACAGCGGAAAGAAACCGGCAGAAGCTGGAGCAGAAGCGGCACCTCCTCCGGTGAGCTCCGTAGGCAGCAGATCCCGAGAGCTGGGCTGCAGCCCGGCCTGCACCACTTGCCTGCGCGCAGCCCTAACGCTCCGTGCTCTTCTCGCCTCCCTAGGGCTGAATGCTCGCACGGCTCCAGAGGGGAAGGTGCAGCCATCGGTGGTGACCGCGGTGGAGCTCTCAACACGGGGGCTGGGAAGCCGTCCAGATTTCCACCTGTGAATGGAAGATCGTAGAAAACCAAAGACTCGTAGAACGGCCTGGGTTGAAAAGGGTCTCGAAGATCACCGCGACCGGGCTGCCCAGAGCCACATCCAGCGTGCCCTCGGATGCCCGCAGGGATGGGGCGTCCCCCAGCTCTCGGCAAGCTGTTCCAGCACGTCACCACCCTCCGTGTGAAGAACGCTTGCTGACATCTAACCAAATTCTGCCCCCCTTTCACAGTTTAAAACCATTCCCCCTTGTCCTGTCACCATCCGGCCTCGTCAACGGCCGTTCCCCCTCTACTCTACAGCCTCCCTTCAAGAACTGGAAGGCCGCAGTGAGGTCTCCCCGGAGCCTTCTCCTCACCAAGCTAAACAAGCCCGGTTCTCTCCACCTTTCTTGACAGGAGAGGTGCTCCAGGCCTCTGATCACCATAGGGGCCCTCCTCTGCACTTCATCCAAGAGCTCTGCGTCTTTCTTGTACCGGGGACCTCAGTTTTGGATGCACTATTCCCAATAAAAATGAATTGGCTTTATTTCCACTCAGTCTGCTGATGTCGTGTCTGTCGCCATCAACTGACGTGAGGAAGCTGGAGCCGTGTTTTGAGAGAGCAGTTTGGGTGGCAACGAGAGCCGCTGCCAAGGCCCGGCAGGACCATGCTCTGCAAGAGCGGGTGCCCAGGACGGCAGCCATCTCTGCCAGCCGTGCACGTTTCCTGTGCACAAGTCGTGCATCCCCTCGTATCCCCATCACTCCCTTCTGGCAACACAAACAGAAACGCTGTGGCAGAATTCTCTTGTGCCCAGCACCCAGACTCTGTTGAGCTGAATTCAGCCCGTGTGACACGAGAAAGGTTCTCGTGCCAGGGAAGGGAAGGGGGCAGGGGGGAGATGGTGTAATGGAAGAGAAGGGAAAGGGGGGAGGACAGCACGAGGGAACGAAAGGGGACCGGGGGGAAACACCCCAAGGGAGGGGAAGGGAAGGGAAGGGAAGGGAAGGGAAGGGAAAGGGAAAGGGAAAGGGAAAGGGAAAGGGAAAGGGAAAGGGAAAGGGAAAGGGAAAGGGAAAGGGAAAGGGAAAGGGAAAGGGAAAGGGAAAGGGAAAGGGAAAGGGAAAGGGAAAGGGAAGGGAGGGGGAGGGGGAGGGGGAGGGGGAGGGGGAGGGGGAGGGGGAGGGGGAGGGGGAGGGGAAGGGAAAGGGGAAGGGGAAGGGAAGGGAAAGGGGAAGGGAAGGGAAGGGAAGGAAGGAAGGGAAGGGAAGGGAAGGGAAGGGAAGGGAAGGGAAGGGAAGGGAAGGGAAGGGAAGGGAAGGGAAGGGAAGGGAAGGGAAGGGAAGGGAAGGAAGGGAAGGGAAGGGAAGGGAAGGGAAGGGAAGGGAAGGGAAGGGAAGGGAAGGAAAGGAAAGGAAAGGAAAGGAAAGGAAAGGAAAGGAAAGGAAAGGAAAGGAAAGGAAAGGAAAGGAAAGGAAAGGAAAGGAAAGGAAAGGAAAGGAAAGGAAAGGAAAGGAAAGGAAAGGAAAGCGGGGGGAGACGCTGCAAGGTAACGGAAGGGGACGGGGAGCTGAAGGGAAGGGGAGCGAGAAGAGACAGAGCCGGCGGCTTCGGCGCTGACCAATGAGGGGGAGGCCGGGGGCGGAGGGGGAGGCCGGGGGCGGGGTGGCTCCGGCGCTGACCAATGAGAGGCCGGGACGGGCCGCCGCCGTCGCCCCGGGCCGATGGCAGCCGGCGCAGCCTGCGTGCCGCCGCTCCCCGCGGATGAAGCGGCCGCTTCCGAAGCCGGGGCGCCACGGGAGCCCGGAACGGACTCGGAGGGGCGGGATGCGCACAGCGTCTCTGGGCAGCCCGTGCCAGCAGCTCACCAGCTTCTAAGGGAGAACTTGGAGCTGTGCGTGCGCCTGTGAACGCGCCGGGTGTTTATCGCAGCTCGCACCCGTCCTCCTCCCACCACCCGACTCCCGGGAGCCCGGACCCGATGGCTCGGCCGGACGGTGGCGAGACGTGAGGGTCGGCGGCGCCCCCACCGCCCGGATCCGCCCCGCCGATCAGCCTCGGTTCCTTTGTCTTTCCCGCCCTGTTTTTTCTTCTCGGCTCAACTATTCTCTTTGGACACCTGAACTCTTACCCATCATGAGCAGAGGGTGAGAAATCTTACTCAAAATCCACAACGACAAACGATGCTTCCGTGCTGATTGCATTCCGTGCCACAGAACGGCCACAAACTCCGTCAGCCAAGTACTGGCAGAAAAGAAGAGTACCGGTCTATCTGAGCCAAAGCCTTGCCTGCACCCTCAGAGCCAGCTGACTGATGCAAAGCTATGGGCAGCTCCCTGCTACAGGCGGTCTGGTGAAATTCAGTAGACAAAGACCATTTGCAGCCCTGGATCACAGCAAGTGCCTGAGCCCCTGGACTACTGTGAGAGCATTTCACAGTCATTGCTGCGCTGGGCTGCACTGCGATTAAAGCAAGGAGGGAAAGCAGTGTTGCCTAACCATAGCATGGCCGGATGAGGTGGAATGGAAACTCTTAAGAGCCAACAGCGCCTTTGTAAATGCTGAGCTCTGCCAGCAGGGTGCTGCTCTCAGACTCTCAGGTATTCTTTGGTGCTGGATGATCCTTGAGCTCCCTTCCATCCCAAGCCATTCTACAAGGATTCTGGGATTTCCCCAACTCCAGTCGTAAGCACTGGAGGACTGGGCCAAATCTCCGCACGTTCCGATGGAGTTTAATGCACTCCACTTGCTCAGATTGCTCAACTTGGGGATTAAGGACCCTCTTGAAAAGCCACGTTCTGATGAAGCGTGTCACTAGCACAACCAGACCTCTGTCGGTCCACCAGGGACGCTGGCGATTCTCATCCTTGTATTGACTTGCAGGAGAACTGCCTTTGCCTTCCCTCATTCTCACTGCCTACAAAACACCAGCCATACGCCCCGTGCTATGCATGAAGGATCATCAGCGCAGAGGATAAGGTGGGATGGATAAGGGAGGTATTAAACACGGAACACACCCAAAAAAGGACTCTATTTTGCTTCCCTGAACGATCATATGGAACATCCATACCTGGCTTTGGCCCCGAACTGATGAGAGCCTCGAGAACTTTGTTGTTAATGAGTTCCACACACTCTGCAGGGAAAAATCCAACCTGTAACAAGAGCAAAAAGAGAGGTGTGATACTGAATGCAGCATTTCTCAGGCCTGAACGCTTCAACCAAAAACCACAGAGCATTTTCCTCGGAACGTGCTTGCCGGACACTCCGCAAGGCTATCCAGCACAAAATGGCCTGCGGCAAAGTAACAAGCATTCCACATTCACAGCCAAAAGGTCCAGAAAACGGCCTATAGAACAGGGAGGGGACAAGTATGGTGATCTTCCCCCTCTGCTCTGCCCTTGTATGTCCACATCTGGAGCACTGTGTCCAGTTCTGGGCCCACTGGTAAAAAAAGACAGGGATCTCTTGGAAAGAGTCCAGCGGAGGGCCACACAGACGGTGAGGGGCCTGGAGCATCTCCCCTATGAAGAAAGGTTGAATGAACTGGGTCTGTTCAGCCTTGAGAGAAGAGGACTGAGAGGAGACCTGATCCAGGTCTATAAATATCTACGGTGTGGGGGCAGAGTGGTAAACCCAGACTGTTTCCAGCAGTGTGCGGAGAAAGGACAAGGGGGAACAGCCAGAAGCTGCAGCATAAACTGCGGAAGTTCTACACAGATGTGCGCAAGAACTTCTTTACAGTGAGGTGACGGAGCGCTGGAACAGGCTGCCCAGGGAGGTGGTGGAGTCTCCTTCTCTGGAGATGTTCAAGACCTGCCTGGACACCTACTTGTGCCACCTGTAGATGTAGAGAACCCACTTTGGCAAGGGGTGGAACTCGATGATGTCTGGAGGTCCCTTCCAACTCTTATGATTCCGTGATTCCATAAACCTTAACACTAAAACAGATCGCTAATACTTACCTTGAAATCTAATCTAAAACAGTAACTCTAAAGCCCGTGCAGAAGGGTAACCCTTCACAATTAGCAGTAATACTGAATAGTAGCACTTAACCGTAACCCAAAGCAGGATCAGGCTGAGCTTGTCTGCTTCCAGGGCTTTGCTTCATGTAAAAAAATGAAGAATGCTCTACCCCTGGCTCTGAATGCTGTGTCCATGCCTTTGGATCAAGCAACAATTCGATGCGCTGTGCTTCTCCGTGGCTCCACGTCTGCATTCTGTGGCGACAAGAGTTGAAGGGAAAACGCTCTGAAGAGGGAAGGGGAAATGCGAGGAGCGACAGATGTTTTGCTCCTTGGGAGCACAATCGAAATAGTCGGGAGCGCTGTAGTCTGCACTGCGTACAGAAAAAATGCCGTTGAAAGGACCGCAGAAGGCAGGCAGACTTCTCAAGTTCTCGGCATCGGAATGGCACTACGCGCTGTCGCGGTTTGTAAGTGGCACTCACGGTGAACCGCTCCGTTGCTGCATGAAAAAACACGCTTCTCCGTGAATGCAGCTTGCAGCCTCCAGCAGCGGTCTCGTTTTTCTCGGTCACCGGGAATGGTCGACTGCAGTCGGCTGCTTTTCTCCGAGTAGCGGGCTCTTATGCACACGTGCGAGAGGAGATGTTTGGACTTCGCCTCGTGTAAAAATACGAACATTGCACTACGCCTGGCTCTGAAGGTTGTCTCCATGACTTTCTATCGAGAGATATTTCGTGGTAGTGAGTTTATCCCTGGCTCCAAGTCTGCAATCTGTGACGACAAGAGTCGAAGGGATAACAATCTGTAAAGAGGGAAGGGGAATAGCAAGGAGCAACAGATGTTGTGCTCTTTGGGAGCACATTCAAAAAAGTCGGGAGCACTGTAGTCTGCACTGCGAAGAAAAAGCGCCTTTTCGGCAGGTCCCTTCCTCAGCTCTGCCCAGTGCTGATGGGATGTCAGTGCTACCTGCTGCTCTCCATGAACTGCAGGTTCAATTCCTTTTGGCTTCCACAGCATTTGCTACTCTTTTGTTCTGTCTCACTTGTCTTTTTTCCATGTTCCCTGCTGGCGCCTCGCTGCAGTTCCCAGGACGCCAGTGCACACTTCGGACCAAGTGAGAAGCAAAAGAAGAGGTAGGCTCCTGACCAGGCTGCTGCTGAGTGCTGTCCTTGACTTGGGGTTTGTACAATGACCAGCCTTAGTTGCTAAGCCACGTTGTTCAGTAGTGCGAGCGAAGCTGTCTTCTTTCTTTCTTTCTAGGATTGGTGACTCCTGCAGCAGATGCAGCAGGCATCTTGGGCTGCCCAAGCTTCCGCACTGAATGTGTCCTGTTCCTGGTAAAGGTGTGGGCGTTCCTGGATGTGAAGATATCTTCATGCGTTTCCGATGTGCCCAGTCCCCCACCTGATACTGTTGGCCTTCGGGGTTCCCCTGAGTTGCTGCATTGGCAGCAGATAACTGCTGGTTTGACTGCCTTAAGGGCTGTCAGGAAAGATGTCTTCTGCAAAACCCCTGAGCTACCAACTGCCAAGGAAAATGGTATGTTCCCAGGAATGACAGGATGC